GAATAATGGGAGAAACTCCCCAAATACAGGTGTGCCAAGCTTGTAGCGTCATACCCAAGAAGACTTGAGGCTGTAATCACTTCCAAAGGTGCTTCAACAAAGCACTGAGTAAAGGGTCTGAATACCTATGTAAATGTGTCAATCAGTTTTTTATTTTTTATCCAATTTTTGCTTTGTCATTATGGGGTATTGTGTATAGATTGATGAGGGGAAAAAAACAATTTAATCAATTTCAGAATAAGGCTGTAATATAACAAAATGTCGAAAAAGTCAAGGGAACTGAATACTTTCCAAATGCACTATTATGTATAGATATATAAAACATATATTTTCAAAAACACACTATAACTGTTTCATTTCCAATATAAACAAATATATACAAATGATTTCCTATTGATGGAATACTACACTATAATATAAATGACCCTTCCCCACTATCTGGTGGAAATATAGAATGGAATCCTCCAGAGCACAGGGGCCATTTGAATGCCGTATAGCCAACCAGCTCGCAATTACATTGTCATTTCCACTCACTATGCATTATACCGGATATATAGTGTTTCCAGATTCAGCATGTTCATTATAATTGCTAATAATCAGCTTTCATGTTTTCAAGGTCTGCGCCATTACTGAGCAGTAATACCATCAAAAACAGTTCCCATTTATCATGTTTATATTACTTTAATTGACTAGTGTATTTAAATAATTCAAGGCTGGCAATGAAATGTTATCTAATATCCGTATGTTTGTGTTCTCTCACGCGCTCCTTGCCTTTTCTGTTGCTTACAGTAGATACTAGATAGATACTATGGTTTATGTTAACCACTGTTGGATAGAGGCTCTCTACTGAACATAGAAGACACCCGGAAATATACTGAGTACTTGTAAATAGTTAATCAAAAAGCTGCCCGGACAATCTGCATTGCACTAACTCTTTGACTCATCACAGACGCTGCTGCCACTGTTTATTATATATCCTGTTGCATAGTCACTTTTGCCCTACCTATATTTACATATCTACCTCAATTACCTCGTATTCCTGCACATCGCCTCGGAACTGGCACCCTGTGTATACAGCCATGTTATTACCTCGTATCCCTGCACCGACTCAGAACTGGCACCCTGTGTATACAGCCATGTTATTACCTCGTATCCCTGCACCGACTCAGAACTGGCACCCTGTGTATACAGCCATGTTATTACCTCGTATCCCTGCACCGACTCAGTACTGTTCAGTACAGTATCGTTCATTTCTCATTGTGTATTTATTCCTTGTGTTGTTTTTTTTATTATTATTTCTCTATTTTCTTTCTCTCTGTATTGTTGGAAAGGACCATTAAGTAAGCATTTCACTGTTAGTCTACACTTGTTGTTTACGAAGCATGTGACAAATACAATTTGATTTGATTTGATTTAGAGGGAGGTGACATAATACAGCCTGTCAATCAATCTGAGCCGTGCTCCTGACACACCTCTGTGAGAGAGAACGCGCAGGGTTAAACATGTGGCTGTCCCAAATGGCACCCTATTCCCTATATAGTGCACTAGCCCTGAGGACCCCAGCAAAAAGGAGTGCACTACTTAGGGAATAGGGTGCCGTTTGGGATGCATCCCCGTGGTTCTCTGTCTGTCAGCCCGGCCCTGCTGTCAAACTGAGAGGTGTGTGTGTGTGTGTGTGTGTGTGTGTGTGTGTGTGTGTGTGTGTGTGTGTGTGTGTGTGTGTGTGTGTGTGTGTGAGAGAGTGTGAGAGACAGGATGAGCGGCTGACTGTGTGTCCTGGCGTTGTGATGATGAGACAGCAGATTCCTGAGATCCTTACACACACACGAGAAAGAGAGAGACAGACCTTCTCTGAAACCATGTGACCACATACAGTACTGGACCCTGCCTGAAAGAGACAGGCCTTTGGAAACTACATAGAAACCATGTCACTAGGGCCCATAGTTATTCTCCTGGCCTAAACCATGTCACTAGGGCTCAGAGTTATTACCCTGGCCGAAACCATATCACTAGGGTCCAGAGTTATTCCCCTAAACCATGTCACTAGGGCCCAGAGTTATTCCCTGAAACCATGTCACTAGGGTCTGGAGTTTTTCCCTAAACCATGTCACTAGGGCCCAGAGTTATTCCCTGAAACCATGTCACTAGGGTCCAGAGTTATTCCCTAAAGCTATGTCACTAGGGTCCAGAGTTATTCCCTAAAGCCATGTCACTAGGGCCCAGAGTTATTCCCTAAGCCATGTCACTAGGGCCCAGAGTTATTCCCCTAAACCATGTCACTAGGGCCCAGAGTTATTCCCCTAAACCATGTCACTAGGGCCCAGAGTTATTCCCTAAAGCCATGTCACTAGGGCCCAGAGTTATTCCCCTAAACCATGTCACTAGGGCCCAGAGTTATTCCCTAAAGCCATGTCACTAGGGCCCGAGTTATTCCCTAAAGCCATGTCACTAGGGCCCAGAGTTATTCCCCTAAAGCCATGTCACTAGGGCCCAGAGTTATTCCCTAAAGCCATGTCACTAGGGCCCAGAGTTATTCCCTGAAACCATGTCACTAGGGTCCGGAGTTATTCCCTAAAGCCATGTCACTAGGGCCCAGAGTTATTCCCCTAAAGCCATGTCACTAGGGCCCAGAGTTATTCCCTAAAGCCATGTCACTAGGGCCCCAGAGTTATTCCCTGAAACCATGTCACTAGGCCCAGAGTTATTCCCTGAAACCATGTCACTAGGGTCCGGAGTTATTCCCTAAAGCCATGTCACTAGGGCCCAGAGTTATTCCCTAAGCCATGTCACTAGGGCCCAGAGTTATTCCCTAAAGCCATGTCACTAGGGCCCAGAGTTATTCCCCTAAAGCCATGTCACTAGGGCCCAGAGTTATTCCCCTAAAGCCATGTCACTAGGGCCCAGAGTTATTCCCTAAAGCCATGTCACTAGGGCCCAGAGTTATTCCCTAAAGCCATGTCACTAGGGCCCAGAGTTATTCCCTGAAACCATGTCACTAGGGTCCGGAGTTATTCCCTAAAGCCTTGTCACTAGGGTCCGGAGTTATTCCCTAAAGCCTTGTCACTAGGGCCCAGAGTTGTCCTGCTAGACCTAATGTGGGTCTGTGGAGTTATTCAGCTGCTTGAGATGCAGTGCTCAGTCTGGCCCTTTTTCTCCCCAACTGGTGGTTACAGTCTTGTCCCGTCGCTGCAACTCCCCTACGGAGTCAGGAGAGGCGAAGGTCGAGAGCCATGCGTCCTCCGCTTAACCCGGAAGCCAGCCGCACCAATGAGTCGGAGGAAACACCGTCCAGCTGGCGACCGAAGTCAGCTTGCAGGCGAACCACAAGGAGTCGCTAGAGTGCGATGGGACAAGGAAATCCCGGCCGGCCTAACCCTCCCATAACCCGGACAACACTGGGCCAATTATCATTATGGGGTGTTGTGTGTAGATTGATGAGAAAAAATTAATGTTTAATCCATTTTAGAATAAAGCTGTGAAGTAACAAAATGTGGAAAAAGTCAAGGGGTTCTGAATATTTTCCTAATACACTGTAACACAGTGTGCAGAGATGAAGTGTTAAACTGAGGAGGCTAAATGTTGTAAATGTGTGACCTTGTTCCCTTGTTGGCAGAGCTGCAGCTGCACCTCATCGGTGGAGGACTAGACTACCCACCAAATGACTGGCTGGCTGACCGACTGACTCCTCCCCCTGGCTTTACTGAATGAAACCCTGGTCACAGCGGAGCAGCGTGGTGGCAGACTGGAGAATTAAAAATATATATATGTCCCTCAGGATCAGGATAACTCCTGTCCTGCTGCGTAGCTGTGCCGAGCAGCAAGCTGCGAACACACGGCCATAAATCAATAGCCGGGACCTCAGATTCCTCCATTATCACCTTCCGCCTGGATACAACAACAACAGAGCTACAGCAGGGGACCAGGGCTGGGACCAGGGCTGGGACCAGGGCTGGGACCAGGGCTGGGACCAGGGCTGGGACCAGGGCCTAACCACTACAACCCTAGTTCTAGACCCCCTTTGACCCCTCAAGATTAACTGGCCCCAAAATATGCCCCCCCCCCCCCCCCCTCTAACCCTCAACAAAATACTTCCTTTATAGTTATTTCTCTCTCCGCTAACTTCTGGACCTTCAAGTCCTTGTCTTTTTATTCATCCAGGTTTTACACAGGAAGAAAAAGGACTTAAACATCCACAGGATTGTCCATGATGCTGCTTTATGGGGATAAAGTCTTGTTGTTTGACAGTTATAGGGAAATGGAATTCAGGCTTTAAAACCCTGTCCCAATATTTCCCATGTCCTCTGTCGCTATACTAATCAAGGTGGTCCATCTTCAGAGTGTTATATGAGACAGAGCAAACAACAGCATATTCATGACCGCAACACACACCCCATCAAGTGAGAGGAGAGACAAGGGCCCCAGCCTTAAGCCACCAACGCCTGGAACAAATCATATCTGACGTGTGAAGACGAAAGAGGAGAGAAGAGCTTCAACACAACAGAACCCAACAGAATAGAACACAACGCAACAGAACACAAGAGAACACAAGATAACACAACACAACACAACACAACACAAGAGAAAACCACAACACAACACAACAGAACACAAGAGAACACAAGAGAACACCACAAAACAACAGAACAGAACACAAGAGAACACAAGAGAACACCACAAAACAACAGAACAGAACACAAGAGAACACACGCAGAGAAGAGGTCTGGGGACCGACTAAGGATGCCATCATGATTTCTGCTTCTCCCTGTCGGTTTGAGAACAAGGTCTGTAATAAGAGAAACAATGAAAGTAATTGGATTAAACACGGATTACCAGTGTGCTCCTAAGGCCAGCGAGGCAGCGGCAGTTTTCTCTTAAACCCAAAATAACGCTTTTCAGGGACGCGCTCTATTTTTATTCTGCAAGATCAACTTCCAGACCACTGATTGGTTGATGCGGTGGCGTCCCGGCCGGCTAGCTACCAGAACAGACCAGAGAGAGGGATGGAGAGTCTGGACGAACTAGAGCACCCTCTGCTAGGACGGGAGAGTCCCAAGGCAGACCCCCGAGGCCTGGGTAACACCTGCACCCCTAACCGCCTATTCAAGGGCATCCTGATGAGGTGTGAGGAGGAACAGACATTGCCCCCGCTGGGCTGGAGGGGTTACTGCGGGGGGCCAGGAGAACCAGGACCAGGGGCACTCCGGCACCAGCAGGCCCAGCAGCTGTTAGATCCCTGCTCCCTCCCCAACACTCTGGAGACCATGTACCCACCAGCCCCTCTCTGGGGCCGACCTGACCCTGACACCTTGGGCCTGGGGAGCAAGGACTACCTGGAAACCACGTTCGTGGACATCCACCCCGAGTCACCGCTGCAGAGGAAACTGTTGGCAGAGAGCCAACAGGATGCTCACTCCGTCTTCTACAGCCTAGAGGACGAAGACGAGCTGCTGCCCAACTACGAGGTGAGAAAGGATCTCATTGTGGCTCAGTCAATAGGACATGGCGCTTGCAATGCTAAAGGGTCGTGGGTTTGATTCCTGTACCCCCATACATAAAATGTATTCATGAAAGTCCCTTTGGATAAAACATATCTGCTAAATGCCATATATCATATTACTCTACACTCAACAAAAATATAACGCAACATGTTGGTCCCATGTTTCATGAGCTGAAATGAAAGATCCCGAAATTTCCCATATGCACAAAAAGCTTATTTCTCTAAAATGTTGTGCACAAATTTGTTTACATCCCTGTTAGTGAGCATTTCTCCTTTGCCAAGATAATTCATCCACCTGACAGGTGTAGCATATCAAGAAGCTGATCATTATACAGGTGCACCTTGTGCTGGGGCCAATAAAAGGCCACTCTAAAATGTGCAGTTTTGTCACACAACACAATGCCACAGATGTCTTACGTTTTGAAGGAGCATGCAACTGGCATGCTGACTGCAGGAATGTCCACCAGAGCTGTTGCCAGATAATTGAATGTTAATTTCTCTACCATAAGCCACCTCCAACGTCGTTCTAGAGAATTTGGCAGTAAGTCCTTCCGGCCTCACAACCGCAGACCACATGTAACCATGCTAGCTTATGACCTCCGCATCCAGCTTCTTCACTTGCGGGATCTTCTGAGACCAGCCACCCGGACAGCGAATGAAACTCTGGGTTTGCACAACCGAAGAATTTCTGCACAAACTGTCAGAAACCGTCTCAGGAAAGCTAATCTGTGTGCTCGTCGTCCTCACCAGGGTCTTGACCTGACTGCAGTTCGGCTTTGTAACCAACTTCAGTGAGCAAATGCTCACCTTCGATGGCCACTGGCACGCTGGAGAAGTGTGCTCTTCACGGATGAATCCCGTTTTCAACTGTACCGGGCAGATGGCAGACATCATGTGGGCGAGCGGTTTGCTGATGTCAACGTTGTGAACAGAGTGCCCTGTGGTGGCGGTGGGGTTATGGTATAGGCAGGCATAAGCTATCAACAACAAACACAATTGTATTTTATCGATGGCAATTTGAATGCACACAGATACCGTGATGAGATCCTTTGGCCCATTGTCGTGCCATTCATCCACCGCCATCACCTCATGTTTCAGCATGATAATGCACTGCCCCATGTCGCAAGGATCTGTACTCAATTCCTGCAAGCTGAAAATGTCCCAGTTCTTCCATGGTCTGCATACTCACCAGACATGTCACCCACTGAGCATGTTTGGGATGCTCTGGATCGACGTGTACGACAGCGTGTTCCAGTTCCCACCAATATCCAGCAACTTCGCACAGCCATTGAATAGTGGGTCATTCCACAGGCCACAATCAACAGCCTGATCAACTCTATGCGAAGGAGATGTGTTGCGCTGCATGAGGCAAATGGTGGTCACCCCAGATACTGACTGGTTTTCTGATCCACGCCCCTACTTTTTTTTTTTTTTTTTTTAAGTAATCTGTGACCAACAGATGCATATCTGTATTCCCAATCAAGTGAAATCGATAGATCAGGGCCTAATTTATTTATTTAAATGGACTGATTTCCTTATATGAAGTGTTCAGTGTATATTATAAGTACAGTCTCTCATTGCCGGGAAATTCAGCTGTATGTGTTGCAGTAGACAGTACGGAGGGAGAGTGGCGACAATAGGTACGGGAGTTTCTTTCTGTACACGTGACCCGACCAGGTCTGACAGAGCAGCACAGAACTCCTTGTTTAAACCAATGATTTATATATACACTAGAGGTCTAACAGACTGGTGCTCTGTTCTGAAGCCACCACGCCTCCATCTTGACACTCCCCCACCAGCCACCACGCCTCCATCTTGACACTCCCCCCCACCACCATGCCCCATCTTGACACACTCCCCCACCAGCCACCACGCCTCCATCTTGACACTCCCCCACCAGCCACCACGCCTCCATCTTGACACTCCCCCACCAGCCACCACGCCTCCATCTTGACACTCCCCCACCAGCCACCACGCCTCCATCTTGACACTCCCCCACCAGCCACCACGCCTCCATCTTGACACTCCACCAACAGCCACCACGCCTCCATCTTGACACTCCACCACCAGCCACCACGCCTCCATCTTGACACTCCCCCACCAGCCACCACGCCTCCATCTTGACACTCCCCACCAGCCACCACGCCTCCATCTTGACACTCCCCCACCAGCCACCACGCCTCCATCTTGACACTCCTCCACCAGCCACCACGCCTCCATCTTGACACTCCTCCACCCAGCTACCACGCCTCCATCTTGACACTCCCCCACCAGCCACCACGCCTCCATCTTGACACTCCCCCACCAGCCACCACGCCTCCATCTTGACACTCCACCACCATCCACCACGCCTCCATACTTGACACTCCACCACCAGCCACCACGCCTCCTCTTGACACTCCACCACCAGCCCACCACGCCTCCATCTTGACACTCCCCCACCAGCCACCACGCCTCCATCTTGACACTCCCCGACCAGCCCACACGCCTCCATCTTGAACACTCCCCCCACCAGCCACCACGCCTCCATCTTGACAACTCCCCCACCAGCCACCACGCCTCCATCTTGACACTCCCCCCACCAGCCACCACGCCTCCATCTTGACACTCCTCCACCAGCCACCACGCCTCCATCTTGACACTCCCACCCCACCAGCCACCACGCCTCCCATCTTGACACTACCACCACCAGCCACCAACGCCTCCATCTTGACACTCCACCACCAGCCACCACGCCTCCATCTTGACCACTCCACCACCAGCCACCACGCCTCCATCTTGACACTCCCCCACCAGCCACCACGCCTCCATCTTGACACTCCCCCACCAGCCACCACGCCTCCATCTTGACACTCCCCCACCAGCCACCCAGCACCACGCCTCCATCTTGACACTCCCCCCACCAGCCACCACGCCTCCATCTTGACACTCCCCCCACCAGCCACCACGCCTCCATCTTGACACTCCTCCACCAGCCACCACGCCTCCATCTTGACACTCCTCCACCAGCCACCACGCCTCCATCTTGACACTCCTCCACCATTACAAAAAATATATATATATATATATATATATATATATTGGAAGCTATGAAAAAAAAAAGCTATACAAATCTATCTCTCTTGATGATGTAGTCTACTGTATGTGATGCATAACTACATAGTTATATTGTTATAATATAGCTGATGCCCATGTCAGGTCACACCATCTCTTAATTTGACTTAAATCTCAAACTGAATTTTTCCGCTGCTCTGTGTCCGCTACATACTTCAGTCTGAGACTGCCATCATTCAAGTCGTTGGTGGTGAACGTCAAAATGAGGGGTGTTGTACAAAACAAAAAGTATTCAATGATTAGATCATTTTTAACCAATCAGAGTATCAAAGCCAATAACGAAAATCCTCCCCAATGTAAGCACAGCAATGGATCGCTCCTGTCAGTTTGCATTAGCTATACAGAGCATACAGTAGAGAGAGAGAGAGAGAGAAGAGAGAGAGGAAGTACAGTAGAGAGACTAGATAGAGAGAGAGAGAAGAAGAGAGAGAGAAAGAGATGCGAGAGATCGTAGAGAGAGCTAGAGCTTAGGAGCGCCCGTCATCTCTCTCTCTCCTCTCCCATCTACTCCACTTCCCTCTCGCGCTCGCTCGCGCTTCCCGTACGTCCCGTCGCTCTGCGCTTGCTCTTCTCGCGCTCTACGCTCCCTCTCTCTCTCTAGTAGAGAGAGCAGATACAGAAGCAGGTGTGAGCTCTCCTGGGGAGAGGATGGTGAGGGTGAATAATATTATGAGAGCAGAGAGTGTCTTATTCTCTCTGACACTGACACACCCACCCCCACCAGATTAATTTTCATATCCCCCCGGAGACTGACACCGTCTTTGTAATGGTAACCCCAGCAACTAAGTACTGTGTTCACCGAGACAGGAGTGTTTAACAGGACAGATCAATCAGAACATCACAGAACATTCCAGAACATTCCCTGATATACAGGCAGGGGTGGAGAGGGCTCAGATTTAGTGGGGCAGACGGGCGAGGTGGGCGCAAAATGTTGTGTGAGGTGAATTATTCATAAAGCACATCTGCTGGAAATAAAACAGATGATTATTGTTATTGTATAAAACTAGAGACATAATCAGACGGGAGAGAGAGAGAGAGAGAGACAGAGACAGAGACAGAGACAGAGACAGAGAGAGAGAGAGTGTAGAGAGACAGAGAGAGAGAGAGAGTGAGAGAGGAGAGGATAGAGAGAGAGAGAGAGAGAGAGAGAGAGAGAGAGACAGAGAGACAGATATAGAGAGACAAGAGCGATAGAGAGAGAGAGAGAGACGAGAGAGAGAGAAAGAGAGCGAGAGAGAGAGACAGAGAGAGAGAGAGAGAGCGAGAGAGAGAGCGAGAGATGCCAGATTGTACATGCAAGCCCTTTTCTATAAAGGCATGAGTCACGCAGGAGATGAGAGGAGGCCTGGGGCAGCAGAGCTGGTACACATTCAGGATAACCCCATTCAGTCACATTATCTTACAGGCACCAGCCAACCACACAACAATGGAGCAGCAAAAACACACTTCACCATTTCAGGAAAAAGAGAGGCAGATCAGTTGGTCTACACAGTATATATATAACCAAACAGGTCAAAGAGAAAAACATATGCAGCAGCACAAATAATTAGTTATAATAATATTCATATTTATAGTGATATGTGATATCATGTCTTATCATTTCAGGCCCCCCTGTATATATAGCCTCCCTACTGTATATATAGCCTCCCTACTGTTATTTTATTTTACTTCTGCTCTTTTTTTCTCAACACTTTTTTTGTTTTTTTATTTTTATTCTTTTTTTGTTAAAAATAAATGCACTGTTGGTTAAGGGCTGTAAGTAAGCATTTCACTGTAATGTCTGCACCTGTTGTATTCGGCGCATGTGACCAATAAAATGTGATTTGATTTGATTTGATTTGATACTACAATGTTACGAAAACACATTTCAAAAGAGTGAGTTTGACTAAAGCACATTTCTAAGTGTAGCAGCCTGATGTTGAATTATTTGCCCTTTTCATACAGCAGTCAGTGTTTTGTAACTGTGTTGTACTTCATACTATAATTCTGTGCATCTCCGCGGCCCCCCCCAGGACTCGTCCAGCGACGAGGACTTCAGTGATACGGACAGTGACAGTAACTTCCCCCTGATGATTCCACAGGATTACCTGGGCCTTGCCTTCTTCTCCATGCTCTGCTGTTTCTGGCCTCTAGGCATCGCTGCCTTCTACCTGTCTCAAAAGGTATAGCGTTAACAACTATACTATATACTGTACTGTAATATACTATATACTGTACTGTTATATACTATATACTGTACTGTAATATACTATATATAACTATATAACTGTACTGTATACATATACTGTTACTTAATATACTCTATACTGTACTGTAATATACTATATACTGTAATATACTATATACTGTACTGTAATATACTATATACTGTACTGTAATATACTATATACTGTAATATACTATATACTGTACTGTAATATACTATATACTGTACTGTAATATACTATATACTGTACTGTAATATACTATATACTGTACTGTAATATACTATATACTGTAATATACTATATACTGTACTGTAATATACTATATACTAACTTCATGTCTATACTGTACTGTTATATACTATACTCTACTATACATAGTTGCCTCCTGCTCTGCTGTTTCTGGCCTCGAGGCATCGCTGCCTTCTACCTGCCTCAAAAAATGTACACTACATGACCAAAAGTATGTAGACACCTGCTCGTCGAACATCTCATTCCAAAATCACGGGCATTAATATGGAGTTGGTCCCCCCCTTTGCTGCTATAACAGCCTCCACTCTTCTGGGAAGGCTTTCCAGGCTCTGTCGTAGCCGGCCGCGACCGGGAGACCCATGGGGCGGCGCACAATTGGCCCAGCGTCGTCCAGGGTAGGGGAGGGAATGGCTTGCAGGGATGTAGCTCAGTTGGTAGAGCATGGCGTTTGCAACGCCAGGGTTGTGGGTTCGATTCCCACGGGGGGCCAGTATGAATTTTTTTTTAAAAAAAATAATGTATGCACTCACTAACTGTAAGTCGCTCTGGATAAGAGCGTCTGCTAAATGACTAAAATGTAAATGTAGATGTAGATGTTGGAACATTGCTGCGGGGACTTGCTTCCATTCAGCCACAAGAGCATTAGTGAGGTCGGGCACTGATGTTGGGCGATTAGGCCTGGCTCGCAGTCGGTGTTCCAATTCATCCCAAAGGTGGTCAGTGGGGTTGAGGTCGGGGCTCTGTGCAGGCAAGTCAAGTTCTTCCACACCGATCTCGACAAACCATTTCTGTATGGACCTCGCTTTGTGCACGGGGGCATTGTCATGCTGAAACAGGAAAGGGCCTTCCCCAAACTCGTCTAGAATGTCATTGTATGGTGTTGTGTTAAGATTTCCCTTCAATGGAACGAAGGGGCCCGAACCATGAAAAACAGCCCAGACCATTATTCCTCCTCCACCAAACTTTACAGTAGGTACTAAAACCAGATTCGTCCGTCGGACTGCCAGATGGTGAAGTGTGATTCATCACTCCAGAGAACGCGTTTCCACTGCTCCAGAGTCCAATGATATATATTTATTTATTTATTTTTTTACATTTTTTAGTCATTTAGCAGACGCTCTTATCCAGGGCGACTTACAGTTAGTGAGTGCATAATTATAATTTTTTTGAATACTGGCCCCCCGTGGGAATCGAACCCACAACCCTAGCGTTGCAAACGCCATGCTCTACCAACTGAGCTAGACGGGCCAGTATGACTGCGAGTTTTACACCACTCCAGCCGATGCTTGGAATTGCGCATGGTGATCTTAGGCTTGTGTGCGGCTGCTCGGCCATGGAAACCCATTTCATGAAGCTCTCGACTAACTGTTCTTGTGCTGATGTTGCTTCCAGAGGCAGTTTGGATCTCGGTAGTGAGTGTTGCAACCGAAGACAGACCGTTCTTCTTTTTCAGCACTCGCCAGTCCCGTTCTGTGAGCTTGTGTGGCCTACCACTTCGCGGCTGAGACGTTGTTGCTCCTAGATGTTTCCACTTCACAATAACAGCACTTACAGTTGACCGGGGCAGCTCTAGCAGGGCAGGAATTTGACAAACTGACTTGTTGGAAAGGTGGCATCCTATGACGGTGCCACGTTGAAAGTCACTGAGCTCTTCAGAAAGGCCATTCTACTACCAATGACTGTCTATAGAGATTGCATGGCTGTGTGCTCGATTTTATATATCTCTAATTTGAAGGGGTGTCCACATACTTTTGTATATACAGTGCATTCGGAAAGTATTAAGACCCCTTGACTTTTTCCACATTTTGTTACGCTACAGCAGGGTTCTTCAATTCTGGTCCTGGAGGGCCGAAACACTTCTGTTTTTTATTTCTACCTGGTAGTTAATTGCACTCACCTGGTGTCCCAGGTCTGAATTAGCCCCTGATTAGAAGGAGAGGATGTAAAAACAGAGGTGTTTCGGCCCTCCAGGACCGGAATTGAAGAACCCTGCGCTACAACCTTATTCTAAAATGGAATTTAAAAAAAATCCATCAATCTACACACAATACCCCATAATGACAAAGTGAAAACAGGTTTACAGACAGACATTTTTGCACATTTATCAAAAATAAACTTATTTACATAAGTATTCAGACCCTTTGCTATGAGACTCTAAATTGAGCTCAGGTGCATCCTGTTTCCAGTGATCATCCTTGAGATGTTTTTACAACTTGATTGGAGTCCACCTGTGGTAAATTCATCTGATTGGACATGATTTGGAAAGGCACACACCTACAGTGGGGAGAACAAGTATTTGATACACTGCCGATTTTGCAGCTTTTCCTACTTACAAAGCATGTAGAGGTCTGTAATTTTTATCATAGGTACACTTCAACTGTGAGATACGGAATCTAAAACAAAAATCCAGAAAATCACATTGTATGATTTTTACGTTTTTAATTTGCATTTTATTGCATGACAATAAAAAAAAATCAATTTTCTAATAAGGCTGTAACGTAACAAAATGTGGAAAAAGTCAAGGGGTCTGAATACTTTCCAAAGGCAATTTTAGAAAAGAAAAAAACAATACTGAAATATGACATTTACATAAGTATTCAGACCCTTTACTCAGTACTTTGTGTATATATATTCTACTAACGCCAAGGTGACAGCATGTGAACAGCAGTGTGTAAAGTGGAAGTGTTGAACATTGACATTATGGAAGAGCACCTGGATGGGATTAACAGGGATTACAGCCAGATTATTATTACAGGATTATATAAAATGCCTCCAGATATTTTGTTTAAAAGGAACTCAGTCCGGCTTTGGGAACCATTACACTGCAATACACCGGGTAGGTGAACAGTGTTTACATTTACATTTTAGTCATTTACCAGACGCTCTTATCCAGAGCGATTAGGGTTAAGTGCCTTCCTCAAGGGCAAATCGACAGATTTTTCACCTAGTCGGCTCGGGGATTAGAACTAGCGACCTTTCGGTTACTGGCACTACGCTCTTAACCACTAAGCTACCTGCCGCCCAGGGGAATGATCAAGACAACAGGGCCTGTATTCATAAAGAGTGCTGATCTCGGATCAGGCCCCCCCCCGTCCATATTATTTTATTAATTATGACCTAAAAAGGCCAAACTGATCCTACATTAGCACTCCTACTGTGAGACTGTGAATACAGGCCCTGGTCTGGTCTAGTAAATGCTGTTGTAAATCATTGACAAACAAATAGACCCCAAGTGGTTGTTGGTATGAGGAGAGTTGGTATTCTGATTGTCTCTGACAGAGAGCATGCTGGTCCTTCTCTATCCAGCCAAGGTACAGACTCTCTCACGTAAATCTCTCCACACAAAACCCTGATGGTTATTGGGTAGACGGTCAGTCTCACTGAAGGACACTAGAACATTGTGTGTGTTTCACTTAGTGCATTATTGCCTCTAGTGTCAGGCTGAGTTAAAGAGAACGGTTGTTACATCTGAATTTCCATACTACATTCTGAAGCAGAGTAGAGGACATTAGCATCCAGAGTAGAGGACATTAGCATCCAGAGTAGAGGACATTAGCATCCAGTCACCCAGAGCCAGTGTTCAGACACAGTAGAGGACATTAGCATCCAGTCACCCAGGGCCAGTGTTCAGACAGAGTAGAAGACATTAGCATCCAGAGTAGAGGACATTAGCATCCAGTCACCCAGAGCCAGTGTTCAGACACAGTAGAGGACATTAGCATCCAGAGTAGAGGACATTAGCATCCAGTCACCCAGAGCCAGTGTTCAGACACAGTAGAGGACATTAGCATCCAGTCACCCAGGGCCAGTGTTCAGACAGAGTAGAGGACATTAGCATCCAGTCACAAAGAGCCAGTGTTCAGACAGAGTAGAGGACATTAGCATCCAGTCACCCAGAGCCAGTGTTCAGACAGAGTAGAGGACATTAGCATCCAGTCACCAGAGCCAGTGTTCAGACAGAGTAGAGGACATTAGCATCCAGTCACCCAGAGCCAGTGTTCAGACAGAGTAGAGGACATTAGCATCCAGTCACCCAGAGCCAGTGTTCAGACAGAGTAGAGGACATTAGCATCCAGTCACCCAGAGCCAGTGTTCAGACAGAGTAGAGGACATTAGCATCCAGTCACCCAGAGCCAGTGTTCAGACAGAGTAGAGGACATTAGCATCCAGTCACCCAGAGCCAGTGTTCAGACAGAGTAGAGGACATTAGCATCCAGTCACCCAGAGCCAGTGTTCAGACAGAGTAGAGGACATTAGCATCCAGTCACCCAGAGCCAGTGTTCAGACAGAGTAGAGGACATTAGCATCCAGTCACCCAGAGTTCAGGCAGCGTTAACTAACCAGTGAGCTACACCCCCCCGGGCTTTGAAGTGTTATTTACCATTAGCATGTGTGTTAGTGCTAACTAGCAGCGAGGCAGAGGCCCAGGCAGCCAATCAATGGCCTTCATTATACTAACTAGCAGCAAGGCAGAGGCCCAGGCAGCCAATCAATGGCCTTCATTATACTCATAACAAGTAGCCCATAGATTTCCAATAGTGTTGAGAGCCCTGGGATGGGGGTCCCTGGGAAAGGGCTCTGGGATGGGGGTCCCTGGGATGGGGGTCCCTGGGAAAGGGCTCTGGGATGGGGGTCCCTGGGAAAGGGCTCTGGGATGGGGGTCCCTGGGATGGGGGTCCCTGGGATGGGGGTCCCTGGGATGGGGGTCCCTGGGAAAGGGCTCTGGGATGGGGGTCCCTGGGATGGGGGTCCCTGGGATGGGGGTCCCTGGGATGGGGGTTCCCTGGGAAAGGGCTCTGGGATGGGGGTCCCTGGGATGGGGGTCCCTGGGATGGGGGTCCCCTGGGAAAGGGCTCTGGGATGGGGGTCCCTGGGAAAGGGCTCTGGGATGGGGTCCCTGGGATGGGGGTCCCTGGGATGGGGGTCCCTGGGAAAGGGCTCTGGGATGGGGGTCCCTGGGATGGGGGTCCCTGGGATGGGGTCCCTGGGAAGGGCTCTGGGATGGGGGTCCCTGGGATGGGGGTCCCTGGGATGGGGGTCCCTGGGAAAGGGCTCTGTAATGGGGGTCCCTGGGAAAGGGCTCTGGGATGGGGGTCCCCTGGGAAAGGGCTCTGGGATGGGGGTCCCTGGGATGGGGGTCCCTGGGATGGGGGTCCCTGGGAAAGGGCTCTGGGATGGGGGTCCCTGGGATGGGGGTCCCTGGGAAAGGGCTCTGGGATGGGGGTCCCTGGGATGGGGGTCCCTGGGAAAGGGCTCTGGGATGGGGGTCCCTGGATGGGGGGTCCCTGGGAAAGGGCTCTGGGATGGGGGTCCCTGGGAAAGGGCTCTGGGATGGGGGTCCCTGGGATGGGGGTCCCTGGGATGGGGGTCCCTGGATGGGGGTCCCTGGATGGGGGGTCCCTGGGAAAGGGCTCTGTAATGGGGGTCCCTGGGAAAGGGCTCTGGGATGGGGGTCCCTGGGAAAGGGCTCTGGGATGGGAGGAGGAAGAGGAAGTGATGAAGGAGCCATAAGCAGTGGGATTGTCAGAGAAAAGAGAGATACGAATTCAGCATGTGAATAGAGTTATCGTTCATCCTGTGTATCAGTGTCAGATTCTGTTTGTTCAATTCAGGGAATAAAAAAAAATAATAAAAAAATAAAAGGCATAATACTATATATTTTTACATTTTGTAATTGTATAACAGTATGATTGAAATTTGAAAGACTGGAGGAAGGGAGAGAGGACAGAGAGAGAGAGACATACCAATTAGGATCTGGCTAAAAATACTTGAATCAGTTATAGAACCCATTGCCCTTTATGGTTGTGAGGTCTGGGGTCTGCTCACCAACCAAGAATTCACAAAATGGGACAAACACCAAATTGAGACTGCATGCAGAATTCTGCAAAAATATCCTCTGTATACAACGGAAAACACCAAATAATGCATGCGGAGCAGAATTAAGCCGATACCTGCTAATTATAAAAATCCAGAAAAGAGCCGTTCAATTCTATACCCACTTAAAAGGAAGCGATTCCCAAACCTTCCATAACAAAGCCATCACCTACAGAGAGATGAACCTGGAGAAGAGTCCCCTAAGCAAGCTGGTCCTGGGGCTCTGTTCACAAACACAAAACAGACCCCACACAGCCCCAGGACAGCAACACAATTAGACCCAACCAAATCATGAGAAAACAAAAAGATAATTACTTGACACATTGGAAAGAATTAACATAAAAACTGAGCAAATTAGAATGCTATTTGGCTCTAAACAGAGAGTACACAGTGACAGAATACCTGACCACTGTGACTGACCCAAAATTAAGGAAAGCTTTGACTATGTACAGACTCAGTGAGCATAGCCTTGCTATTGAGAAAGGCCGCCGTAGGCAGACCTGGCTCTCAAGAGAAGACAGGCTATGTGCACACTGCCCACAAAATGAGGTGGAAACTGAGCTGCACGTCCTAACCTCCTGCCAAATATATGGCCATATTAGAGACACATATTTCCTTCAGATTACACAGACCCACTAAAAATTTGAAAACAAATCCAATTTGGATAAACTCCCTTATCTACTGGGTGAAATACCACAGTGTGCCATCACAGCTGCAAGATTTGTGACCTGTTGCCACAAGAAAAGGGCAACCAGTGAAGAACAAACACCATTGTAAATACAACCCATATTTATGTTGATTTGTTTTCCCTTTTGTACTTTAACTATTTGCACATTGTTACAACATTTGAAATGTCTTTATTATTTTGGAACTTTAGTGAGTGTGATGTTTACTGTTAATATCTATTTCACTTGCTTTGGTAATGTTAACCAATAAAGCCATTTGAATTGAGAGAGAGAGAGAGAGAGGGAGGACAGAGGGGAGAGAGAGGGAGGACAGAGGGAGGACAGAGGGGAGGGGGAGAGAGGGAGGACAGAGGGGAGAGAGAGGGAGGACAGAGGGAGGGACAGTTTCTCTTTTCTATTATGACCATCCCTCTGTCCTTTCTCTATCCTCTCCCTCTCCCTCTCCTCTCTCCCCTCTCCCTCTGTCCCCTCTCCCTCTGTCCCCTCTCCCTCTGTCCCCTCTCCCTCTGTCCCCTCTCCCTCTGTCCCTCTGTCCCCTCTCCCTCTGTCCTCTGTCCCCTCTCCCTCTGTCCCCTGTCCCCTCTCCCTCTGTCCCCTGTCCCTCTGTCCTCTGTCCCTGTCCCCTCTCCCTCTGTCCTCTGTCCCCTCTCCCTCTCCCCCCTCTGTCCCCCTCTCCCTCCCCTCTGTCCCCTCTGTCCCCTCTCCCCCCCCTGTCCCCCTCTTCCCCCCCCTCTCCCTCCCCTCTGTCCCCTCTCCCTCTGTCCCCCTCTCCCCCCCTCTCCTCCCCTCTGTCCCCTCTCCCTCTGTCCCCTCTCCCCCCCCTCTCCCTCCCCTCTGTCCCCTCTCCCTCTGTCCCCTCTCCCTCTGTCCCCTCTCCCCTCTCCCTCTGTCCCCCTCTCTGTCCCCTCTCCCTCTGTCCCCTCTCTGTCCCCCTCTCCCTCTGTCCCCCTCTCCCTCGTCCTCTCCTCCCCCTCTCCCCCCTCTCCCTCTGTCCCCTCTCCCTCCGTCCCCTCTCCACCCCTCTCTCCCCTCTGTCCTTTCTCTATCCCTCTTCCCCCCCTCCCCTCTCTCCCCTCCCCCCCCCCCCTTCCCCCTCCCCTCTCCCCCTCTGTCCCCTCTCCCCCCCCCCCCCCCTCTCTCCCCTCCCCTCTTCCCTCTCTCCCCCCCCCTGTCCCCTCTCTCCCCCCTCTGTCCCCCCCTCTCCCCTCTGTCCCCTCTCCCCCCCCCTCCCCTTCCCCTCTCCCCTTCCCCCCTCTCTCCCCCCCTCTGTCCCCCTCTCTCCCCGTCCCCTCTCTCCCTCTGTCCCCTCTTCCCCCTCTCCCCTCCCCCTCTGTCCCCTCTCTCCCCCTGTCCCCCTCTCCCTCCCCTCTGTTTTCCCCCCCTCCCCTTTTCCCCCTCTTCCCCCCTTGTTCCCCTTTTTCCCTCCCCTGCCCCCCTCTGTCCCCCCCCCCTCTGTCCCCTCTCCCTCTTGTCCCCCTTTTCCCTTCCTCTCCCTCCCCCCTCTGTCCCCCCCCTCTTCCCCCCCTCTGTCCCCCTCCCCCTCTGTCCCCCTCTTCCCCCTCTCCTCTGTCCCCCTCTCTTTTCCCCCCCTCTGTCCCCTCTCCCCCCCCTGTCCCCCCTCCCCCCCCCCGTCCCCTCTCCCCCCCCCCCTCTGTCCCTCTCCCCTTCCCCTCTCCCCCCCTGTCCCCTCTCCCCCCCCCTCTGTCCCCTTTTCTCCCCTCCCCTCTGTCCCCCCTTTCCCCCCCCTCGTCCCCCCCTGTCCCCTCCCCCCCTCTCCCCCCCTCTCCCTCCCCTCTCTTCCCCCTGTCCCCCTTTTCCCCTTCCCTCTGTCCCCCTCTCTCCCCCCCTCTCTCCCCCCTCGTCCCCCCCCCCTGTCCCCTCTCTCCCCCCCTGTCCCCCCTTCCCCCCCCCCCTCTCCCTCCCCCCCTCTGTCCCCTCTCTCCCCGCCCCTCCCCCTCTGTCCCCCTTCTCCCCCCTGTCCCTCCCCCTCTGTCCCCTCTCTCCCCCCCCCCCTGTCCCCTCTCCCCCCCCCCTCTTCCCCTCTTTTCCCCTCTCTCCCCCCCCTGTCCCCCCTCCTCCCTCCCCTCTGCCCCCTCCCTCTGTCCCCTCTCTCTCCCCCCCCTCTGTCCCCCTCTTTTCCCCCTCTCCCTCTGTCCCCTCTCCCTCTGTCCCCCTCTCTCCCCCCTCTGTCCCCTCTCCCTCTGTCCCCTCTCCCCCCCCTCTGTCCCCTCTCTCTCCCCTCTCCCCCCCCTCTGTCCCCTCTCCCGCTGTCCCCTCTTCCCCCTCTGTCCCCCTCTCTCCCCCCTTTTGTCCCCTCTCCCTCTGTCCCCCCCCCCCCTTCTGTCCCCTCTCCCCCCCCTCTGTCCCCTCTCTCCCCCCTGTCCCCCCCCCCCTCTGTCCCCTCTCCCTCTGTCCCCTCTCTCTCCCTCTCCCCCCTCTGTCCCCCTCTCTCCCCCCCTCTGTCCCCCTCTCCCTCTGTCCCCCTCTGTCCCCTCTCCCTCTGTCCCCTCTCCCTCTGTCCCCTCTCCCCCCCTCTCCCTCTCTGTCCCCCTCCCTCCCCCCCTGTCCCCTCTCCGTGTTTCAGACCAACAAGGCGTCGGCTCAGGGGGACTTCCAGGGAGCAGGTGCAGCATCCCGCCAGGCCCTATGGCTCTCTGTCCTCTCTATGGTGTTTGGGATCATCACGTACATCTGTGCCATCTCTGCTCTCATCTCCTATCTGTCTGGGAAGCCGCCGTAATCCCTGGCTGGAGCCACAGAACACACACTGTGTGTGTGTGTGTGTGTGTGTGTATATACACACACACATATACACACACACACACACACACACACACACACACACACACAGTATATACACATAGTATATAAAACATACTAACACACACATACAGTACATACACACACAGTATATACATACTTTTATACAACGGGTGGGTCTAATCCTGGATGCTGATCGGTTAAAACCGTATTCCACAAGTTACCACCGGCTAAATCTATTATGTTAAAATGTCTATTTACTCTGTTCCATCTGACTGCCCAATCCACTGTCTCATCAGCCCAGACAGGCAAGTTATAAACTTGATCTCCACTATAAAGAGATTCTAGACATTCTCACATTTCTTTTAGACTAACATTTCGTTTTCAACAGCGGAGATTTGTATAAACATTGCTGTCTGTCTCTACGACATTTGCAACATTGTTTCAATATTCAAATTCGAGTCGGGACGAGACAGACAGCGTTTCTCAGCCAGTCGAAATCATGAATCAGCAAGCATCATTTTTATGGATATACAGTGGGGAAAAAAAGTATTTAGTCAGCCACCAATTGTGCAAGTTCTCCCACTTAAAAAGATGAGAGAGGCCTGTAATTTTCATCATAGGTACACGTCAACTATGACAGACAAATTGAGGAAAAAAAATCCAGAAAATCCCATTGTAGGATTTTTTAATGAATTTATTTGCAAATTATGGTGGAAAATAAGTATTTGGTCACCTACAAACAAGCAAGATTTCTGGCTCTCACAGACCTGTAACTTCTTCTTTAAGAGGCTCCTCTGTCCTCCACTCGTTAACTGTATTAATGGCACCTGTTTGAACTTGTTATCAGATAAAATACACCTGTCCACAACCTCAAACAGTCACACTCCAAACTTCACAATGGCCAAGACCAAAGAGCTGTCAAAGGACACCAAAAACAAAATTGTAGACCTGCACCAGGCTGGGAAGACTGAATCTGCAATAGGTAAGCAGCTTGGTTTGAAGAAATCAACTGTGGGAGCAATTATTAGGAAATGGAAGACATACAAGACCACTGATAATCTCCCTCGATCTGGGGCTCCACGCAAGATCTCACCCCGTGGGGTCAAAATGATCACAAGAACGGTGAGCAAAAATCCCAGAACCACACGGGGGGACCTAGTGAATGACCTGCAGAGAGCTGGGACCAAAGTAACAAAGCCAACCATCAGTAACACACTACGCCGCCAGGGACTCAAATCCTGCAGTGCGAGACGTGTCCCCCTGCTTAAGCCAGTACATGTCCAGGCCCGTCTGAAGTGCATTTGGATGATCCAGAAGAGGATTGGGAGAATGTCATATGGTCAGATGAAACCAAAATAGAACTTTTTGGTAAAAACTCAACTCGTCATGTTTGGAGGACAAAGAATGCTGAGTTGCATCCAAAGAACACCATACCTACTGTGAAGCATGGGGTTGGAAACATCATGCTTTGGGGCTGTTTTTCTGCAAAGGGACCAGGACGACTGATCCGTGTAAAGGAAAGAATGAATGGGGCCATGTATCGTGAGATTTTGAGTGAAACCCTCCTTCCATCAGCAAGGGCATTGAAGATGAAACGTGGCTGGGTCTTTCAGCATGACAATGATCCCAAACACACCGCCCGGGCAACGAAGGAGTGGCTTCGTAAGTAGCATTTCAAGGTCCTGGAGTGGCCTAGCCAGTCTCCAGATCTCAACCCCATAGAAAATCTTTGGAGGGAGTTGAAAGTCTGTGTTGCCCAGCGACAGCCCCAAAACATCACTGCTCTAGAGGAGATCTGCATGGAGGAATGGGCCAAAATACCAGCAACAGTGTGTGAAAACCTTGTGAAGACTTACAGAAAACGTTTGACCTGTGTCATTGCCAACAAAGGGTATATAACAAAGTATTGAGAAACTTTTGTTATTGACCAAATACTTATTTTCCACCATCATATGCCAATAAATTCATTAAAAATCCTACAATGTGATTTTCTGGAATTTTTTTTCTCATTTTGTCTGTCATAGTTGACGTGTATCTATGATGAAAATTACAGGCCTCTCTCATCTTTTTAAGTGGGAGAACTTGCACAATTGGTGGCTGACTAAATACTTTTTTTCCCCACTGTATAGAAATAAACGTAAATTGAAAAAAAAGTTAAAATGAAATAAAGTGCAGCTAGTTTGCAGTCTTTCTAGCTTCAGTTTGAAGTGATTGTGTTGGCTGTGTTGTTGGCTAGCTCCTCTGAACAACAGTGTCCTGATGTGAGCACATTTTCTATGCCAGGTGAAATCGCGACTCGTTAGCTCCTTGTTATGGATGTATCCAAATAAATGTCACTAGAAAACAGCTTAAACAAATGAAAATGCAGCTACTTTAATGTTATTCTGGCTGCACTGTTTGACGTGACTGAGTTAGGGATAAGAACGTTGCCAGCCATTATGACAATGGAACATTTAGAATGAACGACTGGGTCGCGTCCATAGATTCAGAACGACTGGGTCGCGTCCATAGATTCAGAACGACTGGGTCGCGTCCATAGATTCAGAACGACTGGGTCGCGTCCATAGATTCAGAATGACTGGGTCGCGTCCATAGATTCAGAACGACTGGGTCGCGTCCATAGATTCAGAACGACTGGGTCGCGTCCATAGATTCAGAACGACTGGGTCGCGTCTCTATCAACCGAGCCGATAGAACGAACGACCAGCCGGCTTGGGTAGCAACCGTAGATTTGTGTCGGGACTATATCTTGTGGAAGGATGAAATAGTATGAATAAATTCATCAAAATAACTTTTGTTATGAAAACATGTCAATCATTATTTGAATATGTTGGTAACCCGTTGTCTAAAAGTGATAATGCTCTCCAAGCCGGTGTTTGGAGGATATATTGGCACGGTTTGCAGGCACTCGACGAACAACAGCCGTGCCAATATATCCTCCAAACACCGGCTTGGAGAGCATTATCACTTTTAGACAACGGGTTACCAACATATTCAAATAATGATTGACATGTTTTCATAACAAAACGTTATTTTGATGAATTTATTCATACTATTCCATCCTTCCACAAGATATAGTCACGACACAAAGCTATAACTTATATATATATATATCCTCCAAACACAGTTTTCGAGGGCATTATCACTTAAATGAACACACACACACAATATATACATACATAAATATGAACAAACATTGTACATACATATGAACACACATATGCAAAACAAACACACACACACCACCTGGATTTATGTTGAAGATCACAGTCACCCTCTGACCCGACCATGAAGGAGCGATCATGGACCTGATGACTGAGGAACCATCACATTATGTAAATATCACCATGAAGGAGCGATCATGGACCTGATGACTGAGGAACCATCACATTATGTAAATATCACCATGAAGGAGCGATCATGGACCTGATGACTGAGGAACCATCACATTATGTAAATATCACCATGAATTAATATGGCCACCATGATAACTGAAGAACCATCACAAGGATATTCAGGGGAGGAAGGACATCCTAATGGTCCTGACAACACAGGAGCAGGGTAGGCCATGACTGACTACACCAGGAGCAGGGTAGGCCATGACTGACTACACCAGGAGCAGGGTAGGCCATGACTGACTACACCAGGAGCAGGGTAGGCCATGACTGACTACACCAGGAGCAGGGTAGGCCATGACTGACTACACCAATCCCTGTCCTCTGGATGTATCCAGCACTCTACACTACAGCAGCTTGCCTTCAGAGAGGGAGGGTCAAATAGAAATGGCACTCATAACACAACATAATGCACCTGTAAAGACAGTTTCTAAACAAATGGAGAGAGAGGCAGCAGAGAGGAGAGAGATGCAGCAGAGGGATGCAGCAGAGGGATTCAGCAGAGATGGGGAGAGATGCAGCAGAGAGGTGAGAGATGCAGCAAAGAGGATGAGAGATGCAGCAGAGAGGATGAGAGAGAGGCAGCAGAGAGGGAGAGAGAGAGAGGCAGCAGAGAGAGAGAGAGATGCAGCAGAGAGGAGGCGAGAGAGGCAGCAGAGATGGGGAGAGAGAAGCAACAGAGAGGGGGAGAGAGGCAGCAGAGAGGGAGAGATGCAGCAGAGAGGGAGAGATGCAGCAGAGATGGGGAGAGAGGCAGCAGAGGGGGGGTGTAGAGGGGGTGAGAGAGAGAGGGATAGACCCTGCTGCCTGCGATGACTCATTCCATTAAGAGAAGCTACTCCTGCAGGACACTGTTCTCCCCCGCAGCCCAAATATAGACAGGCTATTTTCTCATCCGTATGCAGACACTTAGGGGATCTACCTACGAGACTCTGCTGTCAATATCACCTCTCCTGGACGGGACGGGAATGTTTAAACAACCATGCAATCATAACATAAAGCAATTATTCTGTGAAACAGTGATGGACTCCATATTTAGCAGATGTCATTATTTGTCCTTTCTTTTTGGAGAGAAAGCGGAGGGGTATTTACAGTTTGTTACAAACCACAACATGACGTCAAAGACACAGCCTGGTATTTCTAATCTCCACTGTGAGACAGGAACACTGGCCACAGCCTGTTGTATAATAACTAATGCCACGTATCCTTCCCTTCTTTACTTTAAAAAGGTCGAGTCAGCAATATGACGTAGACGCAGAAAGTAAAACAGCAGTGAGTCAATTTCCGCAACAACTAAGAGCCTTGAAGCGCGAGGCTCAACTTCTCAGCCGTTTTGGTCCAGTGGATACCACGTTGTAAATGCGTGAAGCGAACCCTTGCACATGCGCAGATAATGTGTGACTGTCAGGGCGTCGCAATTTTTGCAGTGCTGATCGTGGCGCCGTCAGTCTACCTTAAAATCAGTCAACCTGCATGGTGAATTAGCACTTTGTCATGTTTCTCTTGCTCCATGCTTCAATAACCCTCGCTGTATGGAATGATCATAACAGTGACAAAATCTCTAGCCACTTCAGTGCTCAGTTCTCCAGGAGTTCAGTTCAGTGTGCCATAAAGGAAACAGCTGCTCGATAAAGAGAGTCCCTGAAACAACGTCGACAGACTGGAACATACTGACGTTGAAACAACGTCGACAGACTGGAACATACTGACGTTGAAACAACGTCGACAGACTGGAACATACTGACGTTTTCTATTTATACCTCTAGTCATCTAGGTCGAGCAGCGGTCACCTGTTGTTCCTGCGAACGCAAAGGAATTGTTTTGTGCGTTTCAGAGAATCAGTGTTGTATCAAGACTGAGTTTGATTTAATGAAGAACACTATAATAATAATTTAATTAAAGCACTTTAGAAACCATAACTACTAAATGTGTGACTACCACTACTGGTGACATACTACTGCACTGAATATGACACCTCTGTACAGACCACACAATACGGAGGAGGTCTGTCAACACAATACGGAGGAGGTCTGTCAACACAATACGGAGGAGGTCTGTCAACACTGGCCAGGGTTAGATGGGAGAAAACAAGGAAGTACTTTTGAGATTCACCCCATGTATTGATCATTCAGTCTAGTCAACAGAGATCAGGGGTGAAAGGTCAGGTCAATGAGAGTGAGCTGATCAGGTGTACCTATACTGTTGCTGTTCACAACCCCTTGTGTTATTATGAAATGTACATATAAAGACTGACTATGTAATAAAGGCACTAGACTAAACATGTAGCTTTCCTTTCCATGTTTGACAATATCATTAATATTTTGGTTCATTTTGTGTTGTTGGTTTCATTAAGTTAATATCAATTCTTTAAAGTGCAAGAACAAGAAAAGGCTTTTTTTTTTTTTACCAATTCCAAATATTTTATTAAAAAACACAAGCGGTTTGGTCTGTAAAAAAAGAAGCTGCAGAATCCTCGATAATCAGAGTGTCTTCGAATACCTTCGTCTGACAGAATCTCTGTAGAACTGGAAAATCTTGTCTGATGCGTTCTGGCTGACGGCAATACACTGCTGCAGCTATTGGGAGAAAGACAGAGGTATGGGGGGTGGATATTGATTGGCTATTGATTATTGTTATTTGTAGTGCACTGTTGAGGGAACTTGCAAGTCAGCATTCCACTGTACTGTTTATACCTGCTGTAAACTGTGTAGACCACATTTTAAAAAAATACTAGTTTACTATAGAATATTAGTATACTGAATAATTATATAACACACTCTGTAGTATCCCTAAATCATGTGGTGCTTACTATAGAATTGTTTAGTATACTGTAGAATAATATATTAAATACTACAGTATTATACACAAAAAAAAACACTGTAGTGTGTATATACTATAGTAATTACTACAGTGTTTTTTGTGTATAATACTGTAGTATTTACTGCAGTGTTTATGTGGACATGACTAGTATACTGTAGTAATGTTTACTCATATATACACACATACTACAGTTTTTTTAAATTAGCATATACTCCACCCATTCCCATATCACTATGTGAGCCAACCATAAGTGAGAAACCAACATGCCAAGTACAGACCATATATTGTGTTCCTTACAGGTCATAGTTCAGAGCTTCTGCTCTTCTCTATCTGTTCAGACCCCAGTCCTATCTACCTACAGGTTATGGAAAATTCTTAGTATTAACCCAGAAGGTTTCCTCAAGGAAAAAGCCCCCACTTCTATGTCAAAGATGATAAAACACTATAGTAAATACTACAGTAATTACTATAGTATATACACTACAGTGTGTGTATATATATATATATATATATATATATAGTAAACTTTACTACAGTATACTAGCCATGTCCACATAAACACTGCAGTAAATACTACAGTATTTTTCTGCAAAAACACTCCAGTGAATACTATAGTATATAAATATAGTAATACTACAGTATTTAGAGCATAGTATAGTATTTTTTTTCATATGGAAGGTGATGAATTAACTTTGATATCACCATAGGCTAATTAATTAATAATTAAGTGGGTGCTTATAGTTGTCCTTTTTCACACATGTACAAGTATATTAATACGTTTGCGTGAATTGGAAGTGCAATTTTTTCATATCCCACTCGCTCTCAGACACCCTCCGAGGTGACAGCCAGGGTCTTCCATTATCAACCGTGACCCTGGAGCAATTAGGGTTAAATGCCTTGGCACATCGACAGAGTTGGGGATTTGAACTAGCGACCTTGCGGTTACTGGCCCAACGCTCTAACGGCTAGGCCACCTGTTGGCTTTATGAAAAGTCAGTTTGTTTAGAGCAGTTAACTACAAACCACTCAACACCACTGCTGGTGCTTTGGTGATGACAAAAAAATATATATATACCATTCTTCCAAACACCACTGAAAAGAAATGTGTGATTTAAGATGTGGATATTTACTGACCTCATGAACTGTAAAAGATCCTCTGGTGGATGACATCATCACTCTGCGCTCGGTACTGTCAATAGCGAAGGTCATCAAAGCTCGACTTTCCTGAGAGAGGAAACGCAAAGCAGTAGTTTCAGGGTCAATAGGGCGTACTACCCAATGTGATGCAGGTCTTACAACGCTGCACATACAAAAGGTATGAATAGAATTTTATAGAAAAAACATTTTCTAGAATGTGGAATAAAAGGAAATGAACGTAATATAAAAAGCAAAAAGCTAATTTGAATTTAAAGCTGGGGTCATCTGGTGGGAATAGCCATGTTTTTCTGCTAGAACAATCATCTACCTTCTCCTGTGCTGAATTGGGGTCGGTAATGACCTGTCCATCTGTATCGATGGCACAGGTGACCCCAGCGAACAGGCAGCTCATAGGCAGGCCTGCGTCCATCAGGGCCATACAGGCTGAGTTCAGAAAGCAGGACAACAGCTGGGGGTGAGGGGGTTAAGGAACACTACTGACACACAGCAGGAATAAGAATAATTATAATAAAACACTAATCTCCTGTTCCGTTCTCGGCACCTTCTCCACAGACCTGAAGTCCACGGTCTCTGAATTAGTGAATTCAGGGAGTGCAAGGTGCCCCAGGATGTTGGGTGGAAGGGGACTGAGGGCACGGAAGACCACTTCACAGGCTGATTAAAAACGCCTGACTGCAGTCTTAGTGCAACACGAGGAAAAGCTCAGACCTTAGAGTAAAGGGAAACCAGGTAGCTTAGTGGTTAAGAGCGTTGTGCCAGTAACTGAAAGGTCGCTGGTTCTAATCCCCGAGCCGACTAGGTGAAAAATCTGTCGATGTGCCCTTGAGCAAGGCACTTAACCCTAATTGCTCCTGTAAATCGCTCTGGATAAGAGCGTCTGCTAAATGACCAAATAAAAAATAAATAAAACACTGCAATGGGACAATAACACGCACGCAGGGGGGATGTTATTTCACTAAAGGATACTGAACCATCATCATGGACCACTTGGAGGATGAGTGTGAGGGAGGAGCGTGGATGAAGGGTGGAGAGAAGAGCTGCCTCGCATGTTTCCCTCACACACTGCTCTCTGGCTCGCTCTCTGACACCTGAGGAAGAACAAAAATTAGGTCTGACACTGCCATCTTGTGGTGTTGTGTGTAAGTGCATCCTGTAGGTGTAATATAACAAGTGACGGCGTCACGGGCCTAACACCACCCGTGCCAATATATCCTCCAAACACCAGCTTCTCGGGCATTATCACTTAAATATGATATGATTCCTCACTCAAAGGGAGTGGGACGCTGGTAGTAAGGGGAGGCAATGTTATCGCGTGCACCGGTCAGTAAAGTAAGAGGTGGGGGCTATGGGATGTAGAAGAGAGGAAGTTGTGTGGAGTAGACTAAGGTTTGGGCACACAGGTTTGGAATGCCACGTTGTGGATGATAGGGATACATGAAACAGGTCTGTGTGGTTAGTGGAGAATGTGTTGATATTTTGTGAACTGTATGACGTAGATCGTAGGGATGCACGATCTATCGGTATAGGCCGATATTAGCAGAAAATGCCAACATCGGCTCTATGTATAGTTTAACGCCGATGTGCAAAACCGATGTCAAAGCGGACGTGTATACCTGTATAACGTTGGTAGATGACGTAATGACGCCAGGAAAAATACAGTGCAACACAGCATTCCTAACCTAGCCCACAATGTCTGCTGTGTGGATCTATTCTGAAGTTTCAAAAGAAGATAACAGAAAGGCCATATGCAACGTTTGTGCTGCTATTATTTCCAGAGGAGGAAAGAAAGTGTAATCTTTCAATACCACAAACCTAATTACTCATTTGAAAGTGCATGTTACGGATACAGGTATCCTGTGTCTTTTTGTGTTTTTCCTCTCCTTCTGCCCTAATCACAGGTGTCCTGTATGTTCCTGATTGGTGGTCGTTGAGGTGTCTGCTGATTGCTAAGGTGGACCAATCAGTGAACATTCCTCTGCATTGCACCACCTGTTGCTGGTGTTGCAATCACACATCCCATTGTATAAAAACCAGTCAGTTGTGTTTGTTTAGAGAGACTATTTCCGTATGTGAGTATGGATACTGTAGTGTCCTGTTTTTTTTACTCACTAAGTTGCTGGTTACTCTGTTTGGTAATTTTGTTAGAGACTAATTTCTGTATATGAGTAATGGATACTGTGATGTCCTGTGTTTAGAGTACTCATTAATTTGCTGGTTACTCTGTTTGGTAACTTTGTGTTTCTGGGAAAAGGGGAGTTTGAGCTAGCTGCCCTTGGGCATACATTTCCCGTAGAAAGAACTGTCTATAAACACTAGTTAGACCTGAGCGGACCACCCACTGTATTTTTGTATGATTAGCAGTAGCTTAGCGGTTCTTGAGGCAGCAGATCAAGGGATTTTTTAACTATGTTTCATTCTTGGGTCTGCTTTTTTCCCAACACTATCACAAATTTTATGTTTGAGCATAGGTTATAGGGCGCAGGTTTGGTGGGTTTGCCGTACCGAAAGCGCTGGTTTATCCCCAAGCCTATAAAAATCTGTCGATGTGCCTTGAGCAAGGCATTAACAATTGTTGTTCGCTCTGGACGTCTGCTAATGACCAAAATAAAATAAAATGGTTGTCGTGTAGTTTTTCGTTCTCACTGTGCCATGTCATCATCCTAATTTGCATGAATTATGTTACGGGTCTCATGTCCATCCACCCTAGACGTTTAAAGCCACGGGGTTCGTAACAGTGCATCACCCTCAGACGTTCAGCAACTACTTAGAACAAAAACTGTAAAAAACTAAGCGCACACTTCCAACAACTAAACAAGTTCAAGTCAAGCAGTCATTTGAAGATTCAGAATATTTCAAGCGAGACAACTCAAAAGGCGAAATCCATTAACGCCAAGATAATAGCATTCATTGCCCTTGACAAGCAACCGTTCTCTGTCGTGGATGATGTTGGCTTTCGCCGACTGGTCGAGCCCCGGTACACACTACCAAGTAGGCGCTATTTTTCAGATGTTGCCCTACCGGAGTTACACAGTTTTGTTGAAACGCACATCAATGAGCTACTTGCTATGGGCGTCACTGCTATTAGCTTCACGACTGACATTTGGCGTCTGCAGCAGACGTGATACCCTCTGTCATGGCATTGAAACGCCTGCTCAACAAAGCTGCCGACACAGACCGTGGGGTTAAAACTTGCAAAAGTTCTCTACTAGAGGCTGTGAACAAGCGATTCGGTGGCATTCTCTCAGCCTCTTTACGGTGTCGCCACCGTGCTCAATGCTAGGTACAAGGACCGCTACTTCGATGCAGGCAAGAAACAGGCTTTAGGTGAAATGTTCCAGACACAGCTGGACAAGATGGAAACGGACACTGACAGTACGCACCGAGAGAGAGGAACCACGACAGAAGAGGCCACGGAGAGACAGAGCTGAAACGTCACTGCTTGAATATGTTTGATGAAATCCTGGTTGACAATGGAACGACTGAAGAAATGAACAACGAAACAGCACAGCAAGTACGTGAAAAGAAATAGCTTTTGATTATGTTTTACTGGGAAAATGGGGACATACGTAAATGCCAACAAAATAACTTTTTGGTCAGTGTGTGTATATCTCTGTGAGAGAGAGAGAGAGACTTACTACATCGGCCAACGTTGATCTATGCCTAACCCTCCCCTCCAGGAATGAAGATGCACTTGGATACTGGAGCAGTAACAAGCACCGTTTCCCCATCTTAGCTAAAGCTGCGCGCAAGTATCTTGGTGCTCCCTGTACTAGTGTGGACAGTGAGCGACTTTTCAGTGCAGCTTCACACATTGTAGACGAAAAAAGAAACAGACTCGTGACAAAGCCGAGCAGGTCCTCTTTGTGAAGAAAAACCTCCCCCAAATGCTAAAATTGTAAATGGGCAGTCATATTGTAACCCAGCCATCTAGAGTCACTGAAAAAAAATGGACTAAGCCCAATGGCTTTTCTGTTGTTTATTCATGGCTGCTATAGGTCAACATTTTAATTTAAAACAAAGCAGTTTTGTTCTTTTGTTTATTTTGAAAAATGTCCTAAATGAAAGATGAGATGTTGTAAATTTGCTCGCATTTTCCCTGTCAGGTCAGTTGAGCACATTTGGAAGTTGTGCCATTTATAGCAGTTTATGACGTAGCCTAGAGACAGACGTTTTTTCAAGCAGTTAAAGCTAAAATGATTAACTGCATTTTAGTTTAAACCAATATTTATTTCAAAGCATTTTTAAGTTTCTCCATACAGTCAATATTGGATAGTAAGAAGAGCCACTAACAACTGAACCATCTTTGTAACACGGGGGGTGGGGGGGGGGCAGCTAAAATATTTGTGTCATGAATATCTGTTGTGCGATAAAATAAAATATTAATACAGGTTATTAAACAATCTGTTCCTAACTGAACAAATGACACCGTTTCAACTATTTAACTGTACTAGAATGCTTAAAAAGGCCACTAAAATGTTTTAATATCGGTATCGGGTTTTTTGGCAAGGAAATATTGGATATCGGTGTCGGCCCAAAATGTCATATCGGTGCATCCCTGGTAGATAGGGAGAGATTGGGGGAGGGTTAGAGAGGCTGGGGGAGGGTTAGAGAGGCTGGACGGGGTTTGGGTGGTGTAGTGGGGGAGGGTTAGAGAGGCTGGACGGGGTTTGGGTGGTGTAGTGGGGGAGGGTTAGAGAGGCTGGACGGGGTTTGGGTGGGTGTAGTGGGGGGGGGTTGGAGAGGCTGGACGGGGTTTGGGTGGGGGGGGAGGGTTAGAGAGGCTGGACGGGGTTTGGGTGGTGTAGTGGGGGGGAGGAAAGGGAAGTGGTGTCTAGGGCTCTGTTTCACTTTCTTAGGGGAACAGGACTAATGAAGAACATGTAATGTAGGTAGGACGTGACTGGCCTCACACTCCTGTACAGTAGATGGCAGTGTGCGCACCTTAAACGTTGGATGCCATCTGCCAACCCTCATCCCAAAGAAGAAGATTCCTTACTCACTTGGTAGTCCCACTTTGGGCTGCATCACCACCTCTAGGGTAGCTCTGTCATAGATCTCCTTACTGACTTTCACCTCAGCCGGGCCATACACTCCTGCTAATACACTGGTGTCTCCTGCAGAAAGACAGACCCAATGAAACACACATCAACATAGTCCATATCTGAGACAAAGTGATGGAACACTGCACAGCTTGGATGAGTAGGTAACTTCTGTCTTGTTGGCCAACACGGGGGCAGCGTGAGAGCTGCTACGGGATAGTTTCATACCATGTACATTTCCTTTTTTTACGATATCTTCTTCTGATATACTGCTAACATACCTTGGACAAAGGACGACGAGCCATCAGGTCGTGATAGTAAATTCTGTTCGCATCCAAACTCCCTCAAAGTAGGACTCAAAGATCCACACGCCTCCATCGTGTAAAGAGAAAACAAGAAGACTGTCGCAGAGATTTGACGTAGCTTTGCTTTTGTAATATTTTGGGTGCTCAACGATGACGGCATTACCCAAGTGCCCGCCTTTGTCTGTATTGCAGATCTCAAATAAATTGTTAGGTGTAAGCAATAAAACCGAAACGCTTGTAGCCTACCAGATCGCGGTTTCATGGCGCTGCTGAGACCAACCCAATTATTTCAGATCCACTAGTTGAGGTCAATCGATTGGTCGTAATTTAAACATGAGCTGCTAGCTCCTGTAATTCGCAACTAGCAGAGGGAGCTAGCTAACTAAACAGTGAACAAGATGGCGACGGTTAGAGGTGTTAAGAACATGTATGGGATCTGTTCTCATGCAATCCGTCAAACGACTGGATTGAAAGCAGCAAAGCTCCTTCAGCAGAGGGCGTTCAGAGTCAATGTGAGTTAAGACATTTTATAGCTAACCAATGTGAGGAATTGTTGTTTGACATTTCAGCCATAAGTTAGCTAACGTTACTTGTGGCTAGCAAGCTAAACGTCCTTTAGCACACATTCATTAGTTGAATATATGCAATGCAATGCACATCCATCCAAATGTAATTTCTAAATAACATTATTGTTTTGCATGTTGTCATTATTATACATAACTAGCAAGTAAGCTAGCCAGCTTGGAAACGTTTTCAGGTTTGTTTAGCACCCACTGGCAAAATAGTTAGCTAGCATGCTAATTTATCATTATTTTGCTATTCTGGAACCCAAGTAACGTTGCCTTCGTTTTGAATTAGTTAGCTAGTTACTTTGATATGCGTGTTTGATATTACATGCAGATATCAGTAGTTGATCACTGCTAAGTAGTGACGTTTAATTTTCCTGCATCCTGATTGGTCGATTGTGGGGTGTGGAGAACTCCAGACGTCACTTGTGATCGACGCAAAGTCGAACATCTGCGTAACTATCAATAATTTTTGAGTGGTGATGAAACACAATGTTGCACATGCAAACATGACCCACTGTTGATGTAGCTTATATCAAGTCCTGCAAGGGTAGATTGTTGTGTGTAGCTGTGGTTTGTGATGACTGTAGGAAACAGTGCCTACTAACTGCGTCACTAAACCCTTCCTGAGGGACCCCTCCTGAGGGACCCCTCAGACAGCAGGCATGGTGTGTGTGTGTCACTGTAAGTCGTTTGAGCGTTTGCTAAATGACTAAAATGTAAATGTAATAACCCCTCTCTCTCAAATTCAAATTCAATCTGCTTTATTGGCATGAAAAACATTGCGTCAATATTGCCAAAGCAACAATGTAGACAATAAACACTACCAGTCAAAAGTTTGGACACACCTACTTATTCAAGGGTTTTTCTTTTCTTTTTACTATTTTTTACATTATAGAATAATAGTGAAGACAACAAAACTATGAAATAACACATATGGAATCATGTAGTAAACAAAAAAGTGTTAAACAAATCAAAATATATTTGCGATTTTAGATTCTTCAAATAGCCACCCTTTGCCTTGATGACAGCTTTGCACACTCTTGGCATTATCTCAACAAGCTTCACCTGGAATGCTTTTCCAACAGTCTTGAAGGAGTTCCCACATATGCTGAGCACTTCTTGGCTGCTTTTCCTTCACTCTGCCGTCCGACTCTTCCCAAACCATCTCAATTGTGTTGAGGTCGGGGGATTGTGGAGGCCAGGTCATCTGATGCAGCACTCCATCACTCTCCTTCTTGGTAAAATAGCACTTACACAGCCTGGAGGTGTGTTGGGTCATTGGCCTGTTGAAAAACAAATGATAGTCCCACTAAGCCCAAACCAGATGGGATGGCGTATCGCTGCAGAATGCTGTGGTAGCCATGCTGGTTAAGTGTGCCTTGAATTCTAAATAAATCACAGACAGTGTCACCAGCAAAGCACCCCCACACCATAACACCTCCTCCTCCATGCTTTACGGTGGGAAATACACATGCGGAGATCATCCGTTCACCCACACCGCGTCTCACAAAGACACAGCGGTTGGAACCAAAAATCTCAAATTTGGACTCCAGACCAAAGGACAAATTTCCACCGGTCTAATGTCCATTGCTCGTGTTTCTTGGCCCAAGCAGGTCTCTTCTTCTTATTGGTGTCCTTTTAGTAGTGGTTTCTTTGCAGCAATTCGACCATGAAGGCCTGATTCACACAGTCCCCTCTGAACAGTTGATGTTGAGATGTGTCTGTTACTTGAACTCTGTGAAGCATTTATTTGGGCTGCAATTTCTGAGGCTGGTAACTCGAATGAACTTATCCTCTGTAGCAGAGGTAACTCTGGGTCTTCCATTCCTGTGGCGGTCCTCATGAGAGCTTGATGGTTTTTGCGACTGCACTTGAAGAAACTTTCAAAATTCTTGAAATGTTCCTTATTGACCGTCCTTCATGTCTCAAAGTAATGATGGACTGTTGTTTCTCTTTGCTTATTTGAGCTGTTCTTGCCATAATATGGACTTGGTCTTTTACCAAACAGGGCTATCTTCTGTATACCAACCCTACCTTGTCAAAACACAACTGATTGGCTCAAACGCATTGAGAAGGAAAGAAATTCCATAAATTAACTTTTGGAAGGCACACCTGTTAATTGAAATGCATTCCAGGTGACTACCTCATGAAGCTGGTTGAGAGAATGCCAAGAGTGTGCAGAGCTGTCATCAAGGCAAAGGGTGGCTACTTTGAAGAATCTCAAATATAAAACATATTTTGATTTGTTTAACACTTATTTTGGGTTACTACATGATTCCATGTGTTATTTCATAGTTTTGATATCTACACTATTATTCTACAATGTAGAAAATAGTACAAATAAAGAAAAACCCTTGAATGAGTAGGTGTGTCCAAACTTTTGACTGGTACTGTACATTGTAATAAAACAATGAAGAAGAATAATAATAATTTAAAATGGTAGTAAATAATAATAGAAAAAAAGAAAAAGAACAAAAAAGTAAATAATAATACAGAAAATAAATAAATAATAACAATAAGATGGTAACAGTCAATAGCAGAAATATAATAAATATAAAAGGCTAAACATAGAAAATGAAACTATAACTAACTTATAACTAACTGTCATCCTCACCATTACATCAGTACTACTACCATCATCATTACTACTACTACTACTACTACTACCACTACTACTATTACTACCACTACTACTACTACTACTACTACTACTACTACTACTACTACTACTACTACTACCACCATCATCATTAAACTGCTATCATATTACCATCACCCCTACAACCCGTACCACTACTATTTGGAATAAAAACAATATTAATACTAATAATAAGTAAGTTACTGTTTACTATGCAGATGTTATTATTCAGTGTCCCTCAGGCTATGGCAGGGAAATATATATTTGACTGCAAGAGGAGCCGTTGCTCCTTCACCCATGAGTACTTTTTGTTTTTCCTCTGGGTTTAATAAATGTAGTAATTTCTGTGAATAATTAATCTCTTGGTGAGGAATATTTCTCACAGTAAAGGAGAAAGTTAATCTCTGTTTCTACCTCCCCTGTTGTGCAGTGACCACATACACGCTCCTCTTTGGGTAGCCATGTCTTTTTATGTCTGCCGGTTTCTATTGCCAATTGGTGGTCACTCAGCCTGTACTTGGGAAGGATCTGTATCTGCTTCGTATCTCTGACAGAGTAGAGATAATCTGCCTGTTCGTATTCTCTGTTTAGGGCCAGATAGCAATTTAGTCGGCTTTGGGATTTTGTTTCATTTTTCCAATGTTGTAAAAATAAGTCCTTCGATTGGTTCATGATTTTGTTTATTTGAATTATTTCTTTTGAAGTAGTGCTGGTGTCAGATTTGTTGGTTAGGTCCAACACCAGCTGACTGAGAGGGCTCGTTTCTGGGCTCAGCTCTTAGGTTTGAAGTGCTTTAAATTGGAGACTTGAATTTGGACTTGAATTTAGATGTAGACACAATTTTTTCTGTATTTTCATTACTACTGGAAAGCGTCCAATTCTGTCCTGCATGCATTACACATTATATATACAGTGGGGGAAAAAAGTATTTAGTCAGCCACCAATGGTGCAAGTTCTCCCACTTAAAAATATGAGAGAGGCCTGTAATTTTCATCATAGGTACACGTCAACTATGACAGACAAAATGAGAAAGAAAAATCCAGAAAATCACATTGTAGGATTTTTAATGAATTTATTTGCAAATTATGGTGGAAAACAAGTATTTGGTCAATAACAAAAGTTTCTCAATACTTTGTTATATACCCTTTGTTGGCAATGACACAGTTCAAACATTTTCTGTAAGTCTTCACAAGGTTTTCACACACTGTTGCTGGTATTTTGGCCCATTCCTCCATGCAGATCTCCTCTAGAGCAGTGATGTTTTGGGGCTGTCGCTGGGCAACACGGACTTTCAACTCCCTCCAAAGATCTATGGGGTTGAGATCTGGAGACTGGCTAGGCCACTCCAGGACCTTGAAATGCTTCTTACGAAGCCACTCCTTCGTTGCCCGGGCGGTGTGTTTGGGATCATTGTCATGCTGAAAGACCCAGCCACGTTTCATCTTCAATGCCCTTGCTGATGGAAGGAGGTTTTCACTCATAATCTCATGATACATGGCCCCATTCATTCTTTCCTTTACACGGATCAATCGTCCTGGTCCCTTTGCAGAAAAACAGCCCCAAAGCATGATGTTTCCACCCCCATGCTTCACAGTAGGTATGGTGTTCTTTGGATGTAACTCAGCATTCTTTGTCCACCAAACACAACAAGTTGAGTTTTTACCAAAAAGTTATATTTTTGTTTCATCTGACCATATGACATTCTCCCAATCCTCTTCTGGATCATCCAAATGCATTCTAGCAAACTTCAGACGGGCCTGGACATGTACTGGCTTAAGCAGGGGGACACGTCTGGCACTGCAGGATTTGAGTCCCTGGCGGTGTAGTGTGTTACTGATGGTAGGCTTTGTTACTTTGGTCCCAGCTCTCTGCAGGTAATTCACTAGGTCCCCCCGTGTGGTTCTGGGATTTTTGCTCACCGTTCTTGTGATCATTTTGACCCCACGGGGTGAG